CTCAATGCACCCTGCCAGCGCAGGGACAGACCCGGGCCCCGTCCCCCCTTCCACGGGACACTCACCCCCAAGCAGGCATCCCCCGGGCAGGGACGGGGTCTGCTGCCATCGCAGAGCCAGGGCACAGGTCCCTCGTCATTCCTGCCTCTGGGGATCATCCCCACCAAAACAGGAGCCGCTCCAGCCACGGGACCCTCCTGGGCTGGGGGAAATGAGCTTGGGAAAAGGAGCTTTTCACCAGAAACCCTGCCTGGGCTTCACCTCCACCCCTTCCTCCTGGAGTTTACCCTGCTGCCTTCCAAGGTCTGCCACAAAGTGCTTCATGAGTCTGGAGACTCTTTTTCTAGCCAAATTAAAAAAAAAAAAAAGAGAGAAAGGTGACAGTGCAAGGGGTTAAGTGCCACCCTGGCGCAGCAGAAATACGAGAAGCAGCTGCTGGTTGCAATTCACACCTCAAAGTCATGTGAAAGTCAGGCATGGCTGCTTTTGGAAACACCGAGCGAGCCTGGCTGCTGACTGAAGGTCACAAGTTGCTCTGATTTCCCAGTGAGTATCACGACAGAGAAACACAGAGCGACGGAAACAAATCCAGAGAGCAACCGGCTCAGCCCACTGTTGGTGGAAACCGCTGTGCTTACCCAAATCCCCCTCCCACCACCCCAAGGCGCGTCCACCTGACGGCCACGGGGCTGCAAAGAGCAAGGCACGCTCCATCCATTGCACTAGATGCAGTACCAGCGTGCAACCGACCCGGGAACCCCCACACAGCGCGGCTAATTCTTCCGTTTCTTCCCCCGCGGGCAGGAGCAAGCCATCGCGTTTTCCGTGATGACCACGTGCTTCCTGGCACCAGCGGCCTGGATCCTGGCCCACGTGGAGCACTACAAGAGCAGGTCGGATTAGGACGTGGCAAGAACCACCTGCACCCTGCTGAGAGGAGGAGTACGAGGGAAGACCAGGCCATAGAACAGATCTGCACCAGGAAGGAGCCCTCCGAGTTTGTTCATTAAAATTCACATTAGCATTCAGCGTAACGGCTTGTCGGTTTTGCTTCAGCCATGGCTGGTTCCTAAGGGAACGGCCGGGCACCCTGCTCTGCGGGACAGCACGCTGTCCTGCCGGCGACATCCCTCTAAGTCTGCAGCCGAGAGGCTCATTTATTTCCAGGAGCTTCTACCCGGTGCAGTCACAGCAAAGCATAGGGCAGATACCAAGGAACCACTCACAGCACTAGCAAGGAAGCAAAATCAAGTTAAATTCCTGGGAAGAATACCCGCAGAGGCTGTAAGCGATGTTTACAGTGGTCTGCAGCCTGGGAGCTGCCCCCTGACTTCTCTTCCTGCATGAAGAGCCTCTCCGCCCCCCAAACACACACCAAGTTTCCTAAGTATTTCTGTTAGGGAAGCCAGCACTCGCTTCCACACGGGAAGGTTTGGGTAGCAAAGAACGCTTCCCGATATCTCAGAAAAACCTCTGAAACAGCCACCATAAATCACCCTGCCTGCAGACCTTCATGCTCACTTCAGTGAGCTGCTCAAAAGCTCGCGTACGCGCGAGCACTCCCCGCCATACAGGACGGTTGTCAAAACATGCTCAGGAGAAGACTTTAGTGCCGTTTCAACAGTAATGCTTCAGGTTTTTACGTCAAGCGATAGCAGCCCTACGATGCGTTGGCTTTGCCGCACGGTTGGCATTTCCTTTACTCCTAACATGTAGTGACATGACGCTACCAAGGAGACCGTCCCTTTTGAAGCCCTTTTCCTGTCCTTAGCTACAAAACAAACATTTTCCTGATCAGAACGCTCATCTCCCCCACACGCTCTTCTGAAGTCAGTAAAAGCGACATCAGAAATGAGCCTTGGAAGACGAGATGATGCATGAACCGGGGAAGTCAAACTGCACAACACAGGGGGAGAAAACCATGCGGTTTGACACACACTCCGACAGCTGAACGAACACGGGCAAAGTGACAGACGAGATGGGCTGGACAAGGGAAAGGCAGGCATTCAGAGGTGAACAACTCCAGACCAGGAAGAAATTTAGGCCAGAGATGATTAGGGAGGCAGGAAGTGGAGGGTGACCAAGGTCTGACAATTTGATTTTTGCTGTTCTTAAAAAGCTGAAGCCTCCCTTGCCTGAGACACTTTTGCACCTGCACAGCAGTGTGGTGTCTGCCACGTGCTTCCTCCTTTCCGTTGCTGGCATTAAACCCTCAGTCAAGACCGCAAACTAGAAAAATCTCACCAAGTATAAAAAAAAATGCAGTAGTACTGTTGGTTAGACACCGGAGATCACACCGATAACTAGAGCTCTCGAACCACAGCAACAACCAGACTGATACTGCCAAGCCAGAACTGACCACAGACGCGTTGGCGGCAGCATTGAAAAACTCCACTTACATCCCAAGGAATTCAGCCAGGTACGCGAGGATGGCTCTGTGCAATCTAAAGGTACTGCCACAAACCTCAGCAGCTGGCCACTACTGCCTTGTAATTCCAAGTACGGTGCATCCAAATGGATGCTGGGAGGAGGCCCCCAGTTCAGATCTGCATTTCTTTCAGATTCTCCATGCGCAATTATCTCCCATCCCCATAAAGACATCACAGCAGCACAGGGCAAAGCCATTACATCAACAGAACGCTTTTAAAGCAGCAGTTGTTGAGACTGAAAAGCAGAACAAAAACTTGTTGTCTCAGGCCTCGTTAAGGTAGTAATGCTTCCTCAACTCGAGAAAAGGCATCAGGACTACAGCTTCCCTCCAAAAAAGGAACTTGACCATAGAGTACATACCAAGGTACTACATGTTAAGTAAATTACATACTAATCACACGGCAACTAACAGACTGTTTAAATCTCTATTGTTCTTGGACAAAGGGGTTTTGTAACATGAAGCTTCAGAAGAAGCCTATTTGTAAACCGATCAGAGGCTCAACTGCAAGTTACCAAGACGACAAACACAGAACTACAGAAAAGGGAAGGCAGAGAAGTTTATTCCAGCAATACTGCTGCACCTCACTTCAGCACAAAGTGTTCGTAAAAGACAACCACCCCCAAAAGCATATAAAACCACATCCACTAAACGGTAATCCTGGAAAAAACCCTTTGATGGAGTAAACACTCCCTCTACTGCAGATGAGAAGGGGTTGTGGAGAAGGAGGCAAAGGGAGACGGATGGTTTCAGTAACGCTGCCTGGGGCTGCTGCAGGGGCAGAGAGGCTGGGGGAAGGTCACACCCTCCTAAGGCCAATGCCACCAAGTAATCCCATGTGTCGGTCAGGCACCTCTCTAGCACGTTCTCAGGAAGGAGCTTCTGCTGCCCCTTTACCGGCAAATACCCTGCGCTCCTGTAACAACCAGCATGACATCCTCCCGCAAGTTTGATAACAAGGCTGATAAATCAACCACGGCGGAGCCTTCGTCCTCCCTTTACGAGCGCAGGATGGGAGCTCCCACGGTCAGTGCCACTAATGTTAGCGCATAGGGAAATCTTGACTCCAAGCACCAAAGGGTTACACAGCAAAAGGCCACTTACTCCTCCGAACAAGCGTCAAAAAGCTGCTCCCCCCTCTGCCCACCCACCCCCCTTCAACATAATTCAGTACAGTCAGTGGTCTGAGTGCTGCTTGTGTCGGCAGCAGAAATTACTCTCCCAGGGTAGTGCAAGGTCCTCTAGGTTAGGATGTCGTGAGCTTGGTGCTCCACCAACATCTCCATGCTCCTCACGTCTGTGCACCAGAACTCCAGGCGGTCCTTCATCCCTTTGATCTGCAAGGCAAGCCCACGATAACTTTAAGGCCTCAGCTACTCGAAATACAATATTCACCTTTAAGGACAAGCGCTTGAGATGCCAAACAACTTCTCAAAACTCCATACCTCTAAAAAGATGCTACTTAACATCTTGCACCATCAAAACAGCAACGTTTAAAGTTAAATTGAAATGCACAAAAGGAATTGTTTGCAGCTAGCATTCCATGTACTTTTTTTTTTTTTTAAAGGTAAAAGGCATCCTGTATGGTATCCTAAAAACATTAGGAGGATGAACTCAAGAAGCTCAGCACCTTCGTCTTTATCACCCTGAACTTCTCTCTTCAAGACAAGCGTGTCACCTACAACCCAGAAACTCCAAGATGTTGCTTCACGCATTCAGGCCTGAAGCAGCCACACAGATGTCTGCATCCTTCTGGAAAACACAGTCATCGCATCGGTGGTTTGTGTGGCTTTTGGAAGAGAAGCGTCACTAATCCCCTATTCTATCTCCTGACGGGTTTCTAACTACTTCCTGCAAAACACCAATACCTTGGGCATGCAGTCTATTTTGTAAGAGCTAAAGGCAGCAGTGTGAAACGGAACGAGGAAAAGCTGATCTACCTCCTCGCTCCCTGAGCCCCTCCAAGAAGTGCTGAGGAGACTAATTCTCTGACAGTGACCCTTCGCAGTTCTTTAATTTCCAGGTCACCTCGCACAAGAAAACAAGTTAGCACTGCCTTAATATTCAAGCTGGTCATTACCTGTTGCAAGTCCAACACACGTGGCTGTACCCATGTCATGTGCACCTTCTTATCGACTTCATCAATACTGCCCTTCACCAAGCCTACTGAGAGCGCCTTCATCACCAGCAGTTCCACCTAAAAATACAAAAATAATTCAAGGAAAAAAATTGAGAATCGCCCCGTTTCCCTTCAAATGGCACTAGCTTGGGGGAGTCCCTTTACTGCACACAACAAAATCAAGAGCAGCTGCAGCCTCTCACACCTTGTAATACTGCCTTGAGACTCAACACCTAAATACACAGGAGAGATTTCTTTTCCCTAAGAGCAGACTTCTTTTCTCTGAAATCTCAGGAAGAACAAGGTAATTGGATAAAGTCAACATGGATTTACCACAGGTAAGATGTGCTCAACCAACATGATTGCCTTTTAAAATTAAATAATTGTTCAGCGGTCAAAGAGAGCGCTGTAGGTGCCCTGTACCTTTCTTTTAGCGAAGTGCTCAACAAGACCTTCCACCACATCCTTCCTGACAAGCTCGTAAGCTACAGAACGGACAGAAGATGAGTGGAAAACCTGCTAAAGTACCGCGCTCAAACAGTAGCGGTTAGTGGCTTGAAGTCAAACAGGCAGCTGATCATGAGTAGCGCTCCTCAGGGATTGATACCGACTCTGATACTATTTAATTATCTTCAGTTATGTTTAAGCTAGCTGGATGACAATTCCACAGATGACACCAAGCTGGTAGGGAGAGGTAGATGCGCTGGAAATAAGAGCTACCATGAACAGAGACCTGGACAGACAGAGTTAATGCGAGTCACATGAAGTACAGTGAAGATAAGCACGGAGTCCTGCACTGCGACACAGGAGTCGGACGGGCTGTGGTATACTCTGGATGTGCTCAGCAGAGTAGGCTCTGACAGAAAGGAGCAGAGTCTGGGGTGGGGGGGGCGGACAGCAAACGGTGCAAGAGCCAGGGGTGTGCCCCTGCGGCAAAGGGGAAGCACGTCCTGGTCAGCACCAGCAAGAACACAGCTGGCAGACAGAAGGATGCGGTCATTCCACCCGGCACTTGTTGGAGCGTACCTGCAACACCATGTCTGGTTTTGCATCACCCCCTTTCAGTTTAAGGAGGGGGCACCGCAAAACTGGAGAGACCCTAGCAAAGGGCCACCAAGGTTAGGAGGCTGAGAAGCTGATACTATGAAGAAATGTTATTTGCTCAGCCTAGCTAAGCGGCAGCTCAGGGACATCTCATCACAGCCTTCCTGCACCTAAACGGCAGTAGCATGGAAGGTGAGAGGTACTGCTTTCACAAGGATGGACACTGAAAGGACACAAGACCACAGGCAGGATTGGCTTCAGCAGGGCTTCCATCTGGATAACAGAAGAAAATTCTTCACCGTGAGAAAAATTAAACATTAGTGACATTTCCCCTCACTGGAAATACTCAAGACAGCTTGGCAGGGCCCTGCGGAACCTAATCCAAGGGCCTGCTTTCAAGAGCAGGTGGGAACAGATGACCTCAGAGCTCTCTTCCAACTTAAGGATATGACTAAGAATCTTCAAACATGTGTTTACCAATAAACAGGAGGAACAAGCAGTTAATTCCTTCTTAAAAAAGAAAAACATTCTCCAAATGCACAAGAACAGGGGCGAACATTTCTACTTGGAGTTCACCTACGGGAGCAGGTCTATCCAGACACTTTTAGATCTTCAGAACTTAGACATGGGTAAGTTTGTCTAAGCCTGAACTCACCTCATTCACAGTGACTTTGGCACTCTTAGCAATCTCTTCGAAAGTGAGCTGTCTGTGATTGGCCGGTCGGGTGAAAGTCATCTGAATTCAAGTAAACAAAAGAAAAAAAATAAATCCCACACAGTTCTATTTTTTTCCCCAACAGCATGCACAGCTTCCCTTGTACTGCCCTGCTGAGCTCTCCATCTGCAGTAGCAACTGCATTTCTCATATTGAATCAAAACACTTCAATGAAAAATGCATTTACGTCAGCGGAAAGGAGTAGTACTGCTCCCTGTCCACACACACTTTGCTGCTCCAAGCAGCAGATTTCCTAGGCAACAACATAATCTCCAAATAAAGCAGATCAATCCATGCTGAAACGTCTCATATCAAACCTCTGAGAGAACACAGTACCTATAGGTGGTAGAACTCATTCACAGTAAAACACTAGAAGCAGAATGCATATGTGCATTAACACTAGAAGTGGAATGCATATGCACAACACATACACACATATTGGTATGTGGGTATGTATAAACATAAATATTGAGTGATCTGAAGCGTAATGTATGTTTTTGAAAAAGATCCAGGGCCAGGGAGGTTTATACACCAGTATTATTTGGTAACAGAGCCAAAGCCTTCAAGTGACAGGAAAGAAACTGTTTAACATTTAGGGTTACCTGCCAGGGAAAGGATTTTCAGTCCTTAGGAAACTGAGATTTTAACTGTGCTGTAGGAATTTTTGTTACGCTAGAACATACTTAGTTTGTATGTTACCATTCCAGATACCAAGCTTGCTCTTTTCTTCCCCAGCGCCATATCCTGCCTGAAAGGGCTCTCCCTGGAAACTACAGCCAAGGAGTATACCCCAAGGCTTTTTCCTAGCAGTCCTTTCCTTTTGGCACCACCTAGAGGCAAAATTTGCAGGCAACTAGTTACACCCACGAGTATTCTTGGAGGAGTGCATGAATGCACCCAGCAGAGAAGGGAGTATTTCACAGTGCTACCCCCACCAAAAGGCAGCTGGAGCAGTCCCCTTCCATTTCCCACATTTAACACCCCACAAGTCTCTGCTCACCTCCATTAGACATAACAGTTGAATCTTTTGCAGCAGAAGTGCTTCATTTGCAGCCAGATCTGGCTGTAAGAGGATGAAACGGCACAAATAAGTTCATTATTACTTTTTTCCCCACCCCACCAGGGAGAACAGCATGCTACATGCAGGAGTAAGCCACTTGGGGACCCACTACCTTCGTTCACGAGGGAGGAGGCCATTACAACCCACCCACCACCTGGTAATGGTTCTGTAAAACTAATCTAAGAACTGCACAGTTAAATGCAGCGCTTCACAAGGCAGGCAACCTCTTACCAGAGGTCACAGCCTTGCACAAGTCAACCTGTAAATTACTGCTATCTCAATAATTTCTGGTATAGCCAGTGTAGTTAACATCCAACACAACTGTTTTCCTCAAACCTCCTAGAACACAAGGGCAAACCACTATTTTACCCTGGAAGCAGTTTAATACTGGGAGTGAACGGCATTATGGAAATTAAATTAGATGTTATCTCCCCGTGCAGGACTGTGTGATGCTTTTGTTCACTTTCCCCTTGGACAACAGATTTTTTTTTTACTTCTTTCAAATCAACCAGACACAGAGAGAAGCCAAAAGAAAACCACTGGTATGTATCAAGATGAAAGACATTACTATGCTATGATTAAAATTATACCAATGCACCAGAGAGGAATTCTTAAGGTAAATGTCCACAGAATCTAAGTGTCCTCTGTAAATATCGAGCCCAGGCCTTAATCAACATAGCACCTCGTTCACTCACCTGCTGACCCCACGCCGACTTCAAAGCCTGAAATGTCTCTACGTTACCACTGTTGAAGGCATAAAGCGTGTCAATCAGCCACTGCCGATCCGTGTTTCTCAGGGACTCCAGAACAGGGTGCATGAGCTGCAGAAACCAGGCAGGACAGCGTGAAGAGGGCAAAATCAATTCCTGATACTGAGCAAGTGAAGCAGTGAAGCATCGACTTACCAGCTCCCCAAAGTTATAAACACCTTCTCCCAAGAGCCCTGCCAGTCCCAGGGTAAAGGCTCTCTCCTGCTGCTCCGATACTGAAAAAAAAAACCAGACCAAACAACAAAACCAGTTTGGATGAAGCAGCAGTCTGAGCCCATCAACCCCTCCCTCACCCTCCTCTCAGTGCCTGTGTTAAATCCTTCCCAGCCCTCCTCCTCATCCTCTCCCAAGCCTGAAATTCAGAAGCATGCAGTAATCATAGCAGTAGCACAAAAAGGCCACTTTTTGAATCTATAGTGAGCATTTTGGGGAACTAGAACAAATTATCCCTTCTGGCGTGGGCACTCCCTCTCATCACCTCAAGACAGCTTAGGAGCAGAATCCTACTCGGCCGTTCTTGTGGGTTCCTCCTCTTTCTAGCTAGAAAACTACGACAGACTCCAAATAACGTTGAGAAAACCTGTTCTCTGCCAGCACGTTTATTTAGCTTGAAGTGAAGAAACAGAGAATGAAAACTGGGACTCTCTATGATTGGGAACAGAGGAGTTACCCGGCAGATCTTTAACATCAATGCACCCCAGAAACCGCAGAGCATCCTTATAGTAAGAGGCATGGTTCCCAATCGTCTGGTAGTACTTGCTGGAGAGATCATAGAAGCGGCTGTGAACTGACGTCACCCCAGGGAGATTGTTCAGCATCTCCTCAACCTCCTCGATGGTCTCCTAGAGGAGAGTGAAAACCTGTTTGTTACAGGACAAGGTACACCTCGTGCACACGCGTGCTCCGAGCCTTCCAGCTCTCCACTGTACGGGTTACAGCACTTGAGTGGTCCAGGAGTAACATCCACTCAGTAGTAAAGTAGATGAGACCACAGCCAAAGCTACTATCGCTGTAATTAAAATAAAGCAACAGTATTCTCCCTTTACATAGTAGTTAAAAAAACTCAAAACCCCCCAAAACCAAGCCTGCAGCTATACTTATATACATATATACACACACGCTTTATATAGACTTATACCCATCAAACTTTGTACTTGCTCTAAGAGACACAAAGCTGCACTGCATAAAAAAAACTCATCTTAGCTTTAAGAGACAGTTCTAAAGAAAGCCAAGACATGAAAACACCAACGTGCTTGGCACAGGAACCGATACACTAATTCGGTCACCGTCAGCAGCTCGCCAACAAGCGGCATACACACTGTTGAATTCGTGAGACCCTCTAAGCTGCAAACTAGAACACAGCAAGGTATTTTTCCCTCTCTTCTGAGCTGCGCACACCAACAGCCGCAGCGATCAGCTGCAGGCCACCAACAAGCCACAGCACCTCCAGGGCTATGCGCATCAGAAGCTTACTGAAACTTCACACATTTGGTCGTTAAGTACTATACGCACATTTTTACGGCCTATAGGATGTAAAGCAGAACCACAGGTCTTCCTGGAAACCCCAGGAGCTGCAAATTTATCACCTGCTCATTCCAAACCGACGCACAGCCACAGGCACATCCATGCTGCAGTAATTGCTGAAGCGTGTCACAGTACCCCAAATACCCGAACGCTTGAATTACTCGGGTCATCACCTCACCTTGGTGACCTGCAGGTCTCCAATGTTCAGCTTGAGCGCCCCAATGGCTGTTTTACACAAAATGACAGCTTCGTCACTGCTTTTTACCTGCCGTAACACAAAGACGTGTGTTTAGAGAGCGTTACCCTTGCAGCCAGGTAGACTGTGTTGGTTGCATTTCATTTGTTAACATGCTCCTGCATTAATACACAGAGCTGTTCACTGAGGAAAGGAGAAGGTATTCTCCAGCACAGGTGTCACACACATATCTGCCTCTCCAGCTATACCATATATGCTCATGTGCAAAACGATTCCTGTAGGTGGACTGCCAGAAAGAGCAATTTCAAAAATACCTTTTCTCGAGTCTTTTCCAGAAAAGTAAGGGCCACATTGGGATCTGGAGGGGAACAACAAAAAAACAAAGAAAAAAAAAAAGTGGCAATATCAGGAATTCCCACGGAACTAAATCTCAACCTAGAAATATATCCTTTTACTGGATTCATAAAGACCAGAGTGTATTTTTTCTATAGTGTACCGCTTAACCATCAAAAGGTGCCACCATGGTAGGCAGGCTTTCTGCTCGTCAGCCATTTCTCTAGCAAAGCGGTAGACTTGCGACTCTACGTAGCAGCAATTATTTAAGCTTTTTGAGTTAGTGCCTTCCCTTTTCAGTACACCAGGAAGACAAGAGCTCAGCGTTGAAGATTTAGCTGTTAATATTAAAACTAGTCAAATTTCACAGGCATCAGTTGCTAAAAATTCTGTAAGTAACAGGTAAGGACACTTACCTGTCATCTGTCTGACCACATGAAGAATGATCTCCACCAGGGACAAGGGGTTCACCCTAGAACAAAAAAAACTCACTGTCAGAACAGGCACAGTCAACAGTAGGTTACCTAAACACTTCTGGGCAAACACACTCACCTGTGTTCAAACTCGCTGATGAAGTTCTCATACAGCTGTAGGAACAAAGATATCGACAGTCAGGGCAAACGGGTATTTCGTTTCAGCTACAACACGCGCCTCTCACTGCATTCCAGTTCATTTTTCCAACAAAGTAGTGGGCATCCAATACAGAAATGTCTCCACCGTACAGAATCCAGGAGCCAAAAATCGCTCATTTTAGATAATTCTATCTCTGCAGTCTCCTTCCAACTGCAAGGAGCGATTCAAGAAAGTCACAAGCTAGCAGGTACCACAGCACACTGCCTCCCTGCTACGGGCTGTCTTCAGCCGTCACTGTACGACAGGCACAGGCCTAAAGCTTTCAAACTTCTCTTTGCGCTCCTTCAGAAAAGAGACTGTCTCCAGAAACCCACACCTCTCTAACATAGAAATAGCTATCTCCTGGGAAACTGAATTTTAACCTAAAAACACCAAGGAGAGCAAAAGTACACGATTACTTGTGGCACATAGAGAATATGCGACTCTGGACTGGGCACGCCGTTATCTTCACAAACGGAAGCAGCTCCCAGACAGCGGGTGAATAAGCTACTCAATACCTTGAAGTGTTTGTGAATGCCTGACAATCCCTCCTACGCTTGCAGTTGTAACCCCCTCAGTACAAAAAGGAAAGAAAAAGGCTCCCCCTGCACCTCTATCCCCCCCCCTCAAAATCTTAAGTGAATTAAATTAAAGAATGACTTTGAAGCTTCTAAAACTGACACATTTCATTTCAGCAGAGTCTTCCTACACGAACCAAATCCCACACACTCACATCTAACACGTAAACCCCAGAAAGCTGAATTCACCTAGCTCATTAATTCTCCAGAGACGAGTCAGAGATTGGCATTTTCATACTAGTGAAAAATAAGCATCGCTCATCTTTGCTACGGAAAGATCAAACACTTGGGAACAATCGAGCACTTCACCTTGATGAGTCCATCTCCTTGGGCAAAGCAAGGGTCCTGAACAAAGTCCAAAACTTGCAGAGTCAGCTGGTGCCAGAGTCTTAAGAAGAAGAAGAAGGTCACTCAGTGAGTTCACGCCCTACACCAGCTCCCCAACTCGTGCCGGGCCCGGTACGTCCCCCTCGGAGCCCGTCTGCATGACGGAGACAAGCCAGAAACGAAGACGGGCGGCACAGCTCCCCCCGCCCCGAGCAGTAAATAAAGTAACCCCAGGGAAAGGAACGCGGAAATCGGCTCCCCGGTTTCCCGCAGCTACGTACGTGCTGGTTAAACGATCACCGAGTTGCAACGGGCCGGAGGGAGCAGCCCATGCCCACCCCGGGAGGGCCCTGCGGCCCGGCCCTCCGTCGCGGGAGCTGGGC